TGGATCTTCAGTCAAGATCTAGGAAAGTGACTTTTTTTTTTTTTTTTTTTAAATTATACTTTAAGTTCTGGGATACATGTGCAGAACCTGTAAGTTTGTTACATGGGTATACTTGTGCCATGGTGGTTTGCTGCATCCATCTCCCTGTGACTTTTTTAAAGTGACAATATTTGCTTCATTTTTCAAGAATGTGGTTCTACATAACAAGTGCCTAGAATTATTAAAATCTATGTTAAGAATTTGATATTTTTTTGCCGGGCACGGTGGCTCAAGCCTGTAATCCCAGCACTTTGGGAGGCCAAGGCGGGTGGATCACAAGGTCGAGAGATCGAGACCAACCTGGTCAACATGGTGAAACCCCGTCTCTACTAAAAATACAAAAAAAATTAGCTGGGCATGGTGGCGCGTGCCTGTAATCCCAGCTACTCAGGAGGCTGAGGCAGGAGAATTGCCTGAACCCAGGAGGCGGAGGTTGTGGTGAGCCGAGATCGCGCCATTGCACTCCAGCCTGGGTAACAAGAGTGAAACTCCGTCTCAAAAAAAAAAAAAAAAAAAAAAAAAAAAAAAAGAATCTGATATTTTTAAAACTAAATTTAAAGAATTTAAGGAAAAAAAAGATTACTTTTTGAAAAGATATTTTTTGGAGGCCCACAATTCATACCCATAACTCTATACTAATACGTGTCACTTAGAAGAAATCAAAAAAGTTTTCTTCCATAATTTTAGCCTTCCTAATGATTACTGTTAATCTCTGAAACAGCAAGGGCTGTTTTTCGGTATCTTTTCCAATCAGAATGCACATGGCATTCCTCCTTTTTCTTTGCAGTCTACATTCGCCGCTATCTCTGCTTCTAGTACGTTTCCTAGGCTTGAGGTATAAAATATATAAATTCGGCAATGAAACGCTGTGCTGTGGATCTGTGAAAAACCATACTTTTGTAGTTGAATTATTCTTCCAGTAGAATTATACATTGTAAAATTTTATAGCTTCAAGTGACATTAATGATCATTAGCACAACTATTTTACTAGTGAGGACCCTGGGGTCCAGAAAGAGGTCAAAGATCCATTGATAATTTTTAAATAAAGGATAATTTAAACAAAGTTTTCATTTACATATGGCGCATGCACTGTCTTTCAGAAGCATGGGCATCTGAAAATTATAGTTTTTATTATATGTGGCACTTTACAGGAATTGCTAAAAAAAAAAGGAGACATTTTTAGATGTATTTTTTATTTGCCTTGATCTTGATCAAGTTCTGTTATTGTTCTACAGTGAATGGGTGCAAGGACATTCAAAGATAGGTACATTTTTTTTTTTTTTTTTTTTTTTGAGACGGAGTTTTGCTCTTGTTACCCAGGCTGGAGTGCAATGGCGCGATCTCGGCTCACCGCAACCTCCGCCTCCTGGGCTCAGGCAATTCTCCTGCCTCAGCCTCGTAAGTAGTTGGGATTACAGGCACATGCCACCATGCCCAGCTAATTTTTTGTATTTTTAGTAGAGACGGGGTTTCACCATGTTGACCAGGATGGTCTCGATCTCTCGACCTCGTGATCCACCCTCCTCGGCCTCCCAAAGTCCTGGGATTACAGGCTTGAGCCACCGTGCCCGGTGATAGGTACATTTTTAAGAATAGTTTTTGGTTGGAACCCAGAACTTGTGCATATTTCCATTTTCTTCCTTTCTGAACTCCAAAGTTCGTAAGAAAAACCAACAGGGTAAAATTGCATTAGAAAAACATAATGTAGATATATCTTATAATGTAGATATAACTTATAATTCCTAAAAACATGCAATTAAAAATAATATTAAATGTATTGGGGAATTTGATATTGATGGAAATTCTAGTGTGAAGAGTTGTTTCATAAGTACACAACACAAACAAGTTACAACATCTGAGTATCTAGATTTTCAGTTATTGGGTTAATTTTAAATGTGCTGTAACTATAATTTGCCTTCCTGTTGAAACTAGAACCATCTTTAACAAGTTAAACTAGATGCCTCATTCAGCTTTGCTTTTAAACCTAGATTCCATAATCTCTACATGGTTGCACAAAATCATCTTTTATATTTGTGAAAATAGGAGGCCAGCTACCATTTCTCAAATAGCAGAGTAAAAAGAGAGGTAGAAATTTAGCTCTATTAATTTATTAAGGATTCATTTTACCTACTCATACAAGCAAGCAAGCATAAATAGAAATTAGGAAACACCAAAGATGGGGAGATAAACCAGAAATACGGTGTGCGGTTGGTGAAACTGGGTGTGATAAGTCCCTTCAGGTCCTTTGTCAGGATGCTCAAAACCGCAAACATGCAGACACCTCCAGGTTCACACTCGGCTGGTCAGTGCAATGTGCCCTGAGTGTTGTCTAGGCATTCTGAAGACTTGAAGGGCACAAGCGTCATCCTCCTTTTCAGGTCCTCCCAGAAACATTTCCTGGTGTATTCTTGAGTCATGACGACTTGTATATATGATAGAATCCCAGTCCTGGGAATCTCCTGAGCAGGGCTAAACAAAGATGCCCAAAGTACAGTCCTGGAAAATCTTTCCTAGTCATTTGGTGGTTAGTCCAGAGTTCCTTAATCCTGCTGAAGCGAGCAGGAACACCTATCTCTATAAATGGCTTATCTCCGTTTTGGGGTAACCTCTAGGGTTAATCCAGGCGCTTCAAAAGCTGTTTGTCTTTTTCCCACGTGTTTCCCGGGTCTGCCCCTGTTCCCTGCGTGCCCTGTTGTCATGCCTCTGAAAATTGAGGACATCAAGAACTTGCTCACAGCCCGACCAAAGGATGCCAAATCTGTCAAGATCAAGAAAAAAAGGACAATGTGAAGTTTAAAGTTCGATGCAGCAGGTATCTTTATATTCCGGTCATCACTGACAAAGAGAAGGCAGAGAAACTGAAGCAGTCCCTGCCCCTTAGTCTGGCAGTGAAGGAGCTGAAATGAACCAGCCACACTGATTTGAACTGTATTAGAATACTGAAAATCCACCAAAAAGCTGTTTTCACTACGCTTACTATTATAGATATTCAACAAATATTTGCAAATACCAGTAATTTCATGATTCTTTCCTAAGTGCCAGGTTCTGTGCTGGGCGTTTTATATGTACTTTCTCACTTAATCTTCACAATGATCATGTGGGATAGATGCTACTGTCAACTTCCACATTTTGGAAAAAAGACAACCAAGACTTAAAGAAGGTTAATTCTCCAAAGTCATAAAATGAATATATTCAAGTGTTTTACCATGATAGTTACTCTAATACCAAGTTTGCTACCACGTCAGTTACTCTCTCTAGCTCCTTTATCTATAGACGGAAATTGTTTCCTCTTCTCTCTCCTTTGAACTTCCCTTTTGCCTGGTTTACTGACCACTCGATCTCAGTGGAGAGGTAAATCTGAAAGTTGCGGACTTCTAGTGAAGGCCGATGGATGAAGACATTTCCTGGTGTATAAATACATTTATGAGTCTTACTACACATTGACAACTTGCCCACGCTCCTCCACCACTTTCTCTAGTTGCTGCCCCTGACAAATCTTTTTTATTACATGCTGTATGTGAAAATCCAGAGTCATGTTTGAATATTATATTTGGCTACCTTATTATGTGCTGCATGTGAATACCAGTTCACTACAGACAGAGAAACATACCATGCCTGTAACTGTCAAAGCGGTAGAAATTCAATATCAACTTGAAGCTCCCATCTTTCTCCTGTTGCTAAATTACAAAGCATTAGGGGACACAGTGAGGGTTTGAAATCTCTGTCCCTGAGTCAGCTTTCCCTGTAGGTTACTATTGAGAGATCCACCATTTGCTGGTCCCAGGCCACCACGTTCATAGTTCCACACATGTCACCGCTAAGATGTCCCTGCTTCCTGGCCATGAATTTCTCCTGTGTCAAGCCTGAGGGCTGATGCATTGTTGCTTCTGTACCGCACGTGATCTGCAGTCTCCAATGCTGTCCGTGACCGTCTCTGGTTGAGTGATGTTCTCCAAATGCCAGTCTTTTTCCTACTATATCCACGATTTTTTATTCATTTTTGGCATATCTGGTGTCCTCAGTATTATTAACACTTTGAAAATTAAATGAAAAAAATTTTAAAGGAACATTTCTACAATAAAGAAACGAGTGTCACTTGCCATAAAAAGAAGGCAGCTACAACCACCCATTTTATGAAACCCAAATAACGTCATTGCATTCTTGATGGGTGCTGTCTGCCAGGTCACATACTTCTCAGCCTAAACTTAGGCGGTGACATCAGAAGGACGCTCTGCTCCCGGGCGAGGGAAACACAACGGGTGAGCGTTTCACAAGGAGAAGCCCATTTGTGTTCATCTGTGCTTCGATCTAGAGGCAGGGTGGTGTGCGGCAGGAGCAGCACAGGACTGAGTCCGACCTAAGCTGAACAGCTCACGGTCATCGACTGGAGGTCACGGTCATTGACTGGCGGTGACCGGAAACAGGCCGCTCTGCTTTCTGGAGCGTCTCCCGTTGCTCCCTAAAGCGCAGGACTCCAGCAGCCTACACCTCCCTTCTGCGCACCCGCCGGCCCGAGCAGCGGAACTACACCTCCCACAACGCACCGCGAGCGGCGCCGGGCGGTGTTCAGGCTGTCCCTCCTACAACTCCCACAAGGCCCCTCGGCCCCCGGGCCGCGGCCCTGCCCGGGGTGGGGGCGGAGGCGGAGGCGCGGGAGCGATGGAGGGGGCGGGCTCTGCAGGGAAGTGCGTCAGCGGCGGCGCGGGGAGAGCGGGGCGCTGGGGTCTGAGCTCCAGGGGGAGGCCGGCTGCGCAGGAGGATGGGCGGTGAGCCAGCGGGGCCGGCGCGGCCGGGCGGGGGTCGCGTCGCGGGGCCGCGCTCCCGGCGGTTGGGAGAGGGGCCCCTTCCCGGGCGCGGTCGGGGCCGGGCGGGATCCGAGCGGCGGCTTCGTCCCCGGGCCGAGCGCTCGAGGGCGGGGCCTGGCCTGGCCCCCGCGGCCCCCGGCGGGGTCTGTCTCCCGGCCGCCCTCCCCCGCCCCGCCCTACCCGGGTGGTGGGCGCCGCGCCGCCGTTCCCAGGGCCGGGACCGCGTCGGGTCACTGGGGAGCACCGGGGCGAAGGGGGCAGTTTTTCAGAAACCAAAATACCGAGCCCGCTTTGAGAGCTGCCGGGCCTGCCGCGGCCCTCGTCCTTCCCGAGCCGCTTCCCGGTCTCCCAACTCGGCAAGCCCGGTTCGCGAGCGTGTATTCCGGGCCCCTCCGCCGGGGGTGGGCACGGCCGCGGCGCGCACGTGCCGGGTGGTGCGGGGCCCGGCGCCGGCCGCCGGGACTCGCTCTGCTGCGGCCGTTTACTGCCCACGCCTAGGGGAGGGGCCCTATTTGGAGAGTTTTCTGTCGGGCCGAGGGGGGATCATTGAGCTTTTGCGGACGTATATTGCATTTAGGATTTGGGCGGAGAGAGCAAGGTTTCAGTTGAGGAGCTTCCGAAGTATAAGGAATAGGGCGAGCAGACAGGACTGAAGCGTTTGGCAGCGTAAAGCAGCTTGGCTTAGCTTTAAGGATTAGGGAGAGATGGCTATCTAGCATGATTACATGTTATTGTTCCTTTGCTATTTTATACACCTAAGACAACCTTTCCCTCGGGGTCAACAGACATCTTCCACTGTGTTTTCCATGTGGCTCCTGACTCTGACCTTTGTTTTTAGGAGGCTTACCTCTTCCGAGGAAACTGGGAGAAGCCAATTTCCACTGCTTCCTTTTCCTGTGCCTTTTAACACTCAAATCCAGAGCACTTAATCCTCTGCAGCTCCTGCAGAAATTCAGCCTGTAATTTAAAATGTGTGCACGGTACACTGCTGATCGTGGGCATGTCTGTTGTTTGTATCTGTAATGTGTATGTCCATTTCAGTGTTGTCTGTTTTAGTATGCAGGTGATAGACTAGAGAACAAGACCGCTGTCTCCGTAGCATCCTGGGTATGTGAGCATTCAATAAGTACTTTTATGAGAATGAGTTTTGTTTTAAACTTACTCAAAAGCATGCTTGCTTTCTAAAAAAAAAAAAAATTCTTAATGGTTATGTACGAAGGCATGGGGAATCGGGTGAAGGGTCCTTTGGAATAATTCAAAATAATCTTTCTTATTTGTTCTTAAAGTCTAACTTTTTTTCCTTCAACTTTTAAACAGAGCAGTCTGAATGCCAGAATGGATAACCGTTTTGCTACAGCGTTTGTTATTGCTTGTGTGCTTAGCCTCATTTCCACCATCTACATGGCAGCCTCCATTGGCACAGACTTCTGGTATGAATATCGAAGTCCAGTTCAAGAAAATTCCAGCGATTTGAATAAAAGCATCTGGGATGAATTCGTTAGTGACGAGGCAGATGAAAAGACTTACAATGATGCACTTTTTCGATACAATGGCACGGTGGGATTGTGGAGACGGTGTATCACCATATCCAAAAACATGCATTGGTATAGCCCACCAGAAAGGACAGGTATTTCTCTTATTTTAACTTCTCTCTCCTTTACCTGTTTAATAATAGACAAAACAACCTAATGATTGCCCAATTATATGTAAGTAGCTTAAAGGAATAAATCATGGTGTATCTTCTCTTCCTACCACCTTCTCTCCCCACCTTCTCTGCATTACCATGGTACTCATCAATATTGGCTGGATGAGGAACTTTTCGTATCCTGAGAAAGCCGTTTAAAATTTATATACTTATTCGTGCATTAAATACTTTTTATTAATCTCACACATGTCATAAAGAAATGGTTGAAAAAGTACATCGAAAGACTTTAAAAATATTTGATAACTAGTAAAGGGCTACCATCGAAAATCAACTCAAAAAATTGTTCTTTTATGGGTTAGCTGTATTATACTACATATCTATCATTTGCTCTTATGACTTAGAGGATATAATTTGACCAGCTCTACATTTAAATCTGTGTAATTATGAGACTGTTTTGCAACAATCTTGATACAGAATTTGTAGGTTAAGATATTTGTATGACAGAAGTAAAAAAAAACCACAACTCAGTTTTTCAGGTTTATTTTGCGGGCATTCTTATTTAACACTTAAAGGTTTTAATTTCCAGTTATTAAAATGGTAGCCTCAGAACTCTTTGTAAGGAACAACGTTACAGTTTATTTATGATTACTTCTGTTGGCCCCTTAGTGGGGAAGCATTGTATTCAAATCGTAGCAGAACAAGCTTGAGTTACCACATATCAAAAGGATGGTATGTCATTGTATCTGAATAAAGAGGTAATTTGAAAGGAAAGGGGAGAAAGTTGGTTAAAAATTCATTGTAAAATGTTCAGTTTGACTTCTGAGGTTGCAGGAGCCCTTGATATTGACACTGGAGTTGGTAGTGGAGTGTTATCACTTGGTCATTCATTAAACAAATACGTATTGCATGCCTTCATGTTGCAGGGCCTCTTAGCTGGGAGAACATCAGGAAAGAGAACAGAATCTTTATTCCTGGGGAGCTAGCATTCTAATAAAGGATGAAAGGCACTAAACAGAATATAACAGTATAAACAGAATAAATATTTAGTATGTTAAAAGATGACATGCGCTATGGCAAAACAGAACACTAAAGGGATTTAGAAATATGTGGGAAAGGAGTATTGGGGGCCATAGGTCATGATTTTCAGTAGGATACTTGAGGTAGGTCTTATTGAGAAGACACACTTGAATAAAGAATGTAAAGACTAGATGAAAGCGTTGGCCGTATGGGTAAATGGGGAGGTAGTCATTTAGTCTGGAAGGGACATCTGCTGCAAAGGCCCTTTGGCGGGAGCATGCCTGAAATATTCAAGGACCAGTAGGAAGCCACTGGGCTGGAATGAAGAGGGAGTCAGGAAGTTGAGAGTGCTGCCAAAGACCTGCTTTGGGAGTGGCACTGGCCAAATCCTGGAAGACTCTAGGCATAGTGAGAACTTTGGTGTTGACTCCAGATACAGTGGTGAGCCATGATCTGGTCACCCAGGCTGTTGTGAGAACAGAGACGGCAGGCAAAGGTGGAAGCTGGAAGAAGTAATTCAGGTTAAGTGATGATTATGACTCACACCAGAGCTGTAGCCCTGAGCAGCAGCTGTTTTCTGGACCTAGTTTGAAGAAAGAACTCCTAGGATTTCCTGATAGAGTGTAAATGTACAAAAATTAAAGTTTCCAGTCCGAGTGACTGGGAAGGTGGAGCTGCCATTCCCTGAGCTGGGGATGTGACTGGTGAAGCAGAGTTGGGCCAGAAGGTCGACGTTCCTGTTTATTTCGGTCTTTGTTTCCTCCCCTTCTTCCTAGGCTTTTTTTTTTTTTTTTTTTTTTTTCTTAATAAAGACTGGGTTTCACCATGTTGGTCAGGCTGGTCTTGAACTTCCAACCTCAGGTGATCCACCCGCCTTGGCCTCCAAAGTGCTTGGATTATAGGCGTGAGCCATCACACCTGGCCCCTAGGCTTCTTATGTAGCTATTCTGCCATTCATTTTCCTGCTTCCACTTTATTTTTCTTCCTCATGCCTATGTCTTCAGCCTGCCACTGAGGACCAGTGGCATCCATTGGACGTCTGTGAAACCTGTGTGTCAGTCAGGGCCAGAGAAGTTGCTGACCCCTCTGGAAACGCCTTTTACTTTTTACTTCGGAGAATAATTACTGAAAGAGATTTTTGTTAAATGTTTATGATGAAAACAACAGGCACTTGTTCTTGTTCCAGAGTCATTTGATGCGGTCACAAAATGTGTGAGTTTCACACTGACGGAGCAGTTCATGGAGAAATTTGTTGATCCCGGAAACCACAATAGCGGGATTGATCTACTTAGGACCTGTGAGTACTTTGACTTCACCAGGACGGTTGGGAGAAGCAGTGATAATTTTATTTGCCTTTTTTTGGACTCTGTTTTTGGAAGAAGATGAGTTAGTAGATTGTGCCAACTTTTAAATAAGATCTCTAACAGTATCCAATGAACTCTGTTCTGTTGATCACATATTTTAGAAGGTAGATACATGCTTACCAAATTTCAAATGATTTGAAGTTGACAGGGACAACTACTTCATTGGATGATGGGATCTAGATCTTCAAAAGATATTATTAATGGGCCCATTTAATAAGAGGAAATTTGGTTGGGATAACTTATAAATTCCTATGTTTGAATTAAACACTTTACACTGCTTGAGTTCAGATTGATTTCTGTGAAAAAATCTGACTACAAGCTCTAAATGAGTCAGTGAGTTGTCAGGCCTGCCCGAAGTGTTTATCCAGTCTTAGGTGGTAGTAACAAAAGGGTGGATGACAAAAAGATGAAAGTATTTATTAGGAACAGTCTATTCGTTGACGGTCAGGCAGCCCATGCGTCAGATTTGAGTCTCAGTTTTCAGGGCTATAGGGACGTTCCTTGCCCAGAAGAGTGACCATGTTGTAAGAGAAAAGGTTGAATAAGATGTAGGTATTTAGTTTTATAAAAAGAAGATATAGCAAGCAGTTTATTACTAGGAGGGTTTTAAGGGAAGTAAGTTAGAAAAACACTTAAGTTCCAGAAAGTGAACCAGCACCGAAGGGTAAGTTTGGTCAAGATGGATATGAATACATTTCTAATAATGAATAGTATCTAAAAATGGAATCACGTGTTTTATAAGGTCATCAGGTTTTCCCATGTTGATGAAGGATTTATGATAATTAAAGCCACCTTTTATTGAGTACTTGTATATTCCAGATTCTCTGCTTTGTGCTTTATGTAATTCTTTCAACAGCCCTATAAGACAGGTCATTTATAATTACCATTAATTTTCTTGTTGTTACTGCCTTTATGTCCTATAAAGACTTAGATATTGTTGGTAGGTAGAGTCAGAGTGATTTTTGTATCAAATCCTGGCTCTGCCACTTAACTGTGTTACTTTGCAAAGGTTATTTACACTTTTTTTTTTTTTTTTTTGAGCTGGAGTCTCGCTTCGTCGCCCATGCTGGAGTGTAGTGGCACGATCCTCCACCTCCCAGGTTCAAGCAGTTCTTCTGCTTCAGGCTCCTGAGTACCTGGGATTACAGGCACGCACACTATGTCCGGCTAATTTTTGTATTTTCAGTAGCGACGAGGTTTCACCATGTTGGCCAGGCTGGTCTTGAACTCCTGACCTCATGATCCTCCTGCCTCAACCTCCCAAAGTGCTGCGATTACAGGCGTGAGCCACTGCACCTGGCCTCCTCCTGTATACTTTAAATCATCTTTAGATTACTTATAATACCCGATACAATATAAATGCTATGTAAATAGTTGTTATATATTTTAAAATTTGTATTATTTTTTCTTTTTTTTTCTGAATATTTTTAACCCTTGGTTGGTTGAATATGTGGATGCAAAACTTGCGGATTTGGAGGGCTGACTGTACCCGCCGTTTACGGTTGTTGGGAGGATTAACACAGCGAATGTGTGGACAGATTCAGCGTGGTCTGTAATGAACCCTCTGTAATTGCCACCTGTCAGTGTCCTTTTCACTTTTATCAGGATGAGGTCAGCATCTTTTTGAATAATGCACTTTCGAAACGATGCCTCAATGTTAAAATAGTTCTCACTTTTTGAGAAAATTGCTAATTAGAATATGAAAGAAATTGCCATTGTGGAGAAACGGTCTGAAGTCACGGTCACATTCCTGTTCTCTCTTTTTACAATCAGATCTATGGCGCTGCCAGTTCCTCCTGCCTTTCGTGAGTTTGGGTTTGATGTGCTTCGGGGCTTTGATTGGACTTTGTGCTTGCATTTGCCGAAGCTTGTACCCCACCATCGCCACGGGCATCCTCCATCTCCTGGCAGGTGGGTTTTGCCATCATACTTACCTTTTAGCTTCTCCTGTCTCCGTAGGGACCAAAGAGTTATAAATCTTAAGTGTTCACGTATTAACTGCCCTGTCATACTGCCTGGAAAGCTCTTCACTGTGCTTTTACCCAGCCATGTTTTATTTTTTTTCCTGATTTTTCCCTCAAGGTCTGTGTACACTGGGCTCAGTAAGTTGTTACGTTGCTGGAATTGAACTGCTCCACCAGAAACTAGAGCTCCCTGACAATGTATCGGGTGAATTTGGATGGTCCTTCTGCCTGGCTTGTGTCTCAGCTCCCTTACAGTTCATGGCTTCTGCTCTCTTCATCTGGGCTGCTCACACCAACCGGAAAGAGTACACCTTAATGAAGGCGTATCGTGTGGCATGAGCAAGAAACCGCCTGCTTTACAATTGCCATTTTATTTTTTTAAAATAATAACTGATACTTTCCTCACCCCCCTCTCAGTTGTTTTTAATTTTTATTTGTGGATATACCGTTTTATTATGAAAATCTATTTTATTTATACACATACACCACTAAATACACACTTAATGCCACTAAAATTTATGTGGTTTACTTTAAGTGATGCCGTCTTTCAGATAAACTAATATAGGTCTAGACAGAAAGAAATGGATAGAGACTTGACACAAATTTATGAAAGATAATTGGCAGAGGAATTTGACCCAAGCAAGTTCTGCTAATGTCTGTTAGACTTTGCAGTAAAACTAAAGTAACTAACTATTCAACTGAAAACTCTCTAATAGTTTCTCTGGGAAACCTCTCATCATTGTCCAGACTTCCTGTTCACTTGGCTGTTGTAGATAGCCAGTCAGCCAGCAGTATTAGTGCTGCTTTCAAAGACTTAAGCGCTATAAAATTGGGAAATTATCTAATGTCATTTTCCCTAAGCATTGGCACATAGCTTCATCTGAGGTGAGATATGGCAGCTGTTTATATCTGCACTGTGTCTGTCTACAAAAAGTGAAAATTACAATGTTTACTTGAAATTTTAACTTTGTAACTGCAAGAATTCCAATTCAGCCAGACAAGGATTAAGATGATTATTTTTAACTCTCCATAAAATTTTTCGTACCACCAAATCATTTGGGATGTTTTTCCTTTCCTCTTCACATAGCAGGGTTATTGAAAGTGTGCTTTCTTTTTAACATTACAATGCAGTTACAAAGTAACATTCCCCAACTGCTATTTACTCTAGCTCGGTACCATAAAGAACGGTTCACAATAATGACCCTCCAGAGCTGGGAAACCTACCACAAGATCTAAAGTTTGGCTGTCCATCAACCTCCAACTATGGTCTTTATTTCTTGTGGTAATATGATGTGCCTTTCCTTGCCGAAATCCCTTCCTGGTGTGTATCAATTTTATTTAATGTCTTCTAATTCAGTCATTTTTATAAGTATGTCTATAAACATTGAACTTTAAAAAATCTTATTTATTTATTCCACTACTGTAGCAATTGACAGATTTTAAAAAAAAGTAACCTCATAATTTCTTACCATAACCTAAATGTCTTTTTTTAAAAAATAAAATTGAAAATGAAAAGGACTCAATGAATTGTATGTAGAGTGTCTGAATTGATTTGAATCTCAACACTTCGGGATAAAGAAGTGGTGGGGAATCTCTGTGGCTATCTGTGGAAAGTGAATCTTGCTGTACAGAGCCGTCTTTATGTCCTGTGTTTGGGGCTCTTGTTTTATCTTATGGAAAATTGGAACTCCTTGCCCCTGTTAGAAATAAGAAAATCTTTCTTTTATTTTTCAGAATGTTAAACCAGGTACTCAAAAGTAGTTTTGTGATGTCTACATGTCATACTTAATGTGGCTAGTTTTCTGTAAAGTCATTTAGTGGCTGTGGATGTTTGTGTTCTATATTAAACAATCAAGTCAGCCTCTGACTTATAACAAAGCCAGCATTACTCTATAGCCAATTATTGCCCTTGAAATGGCTGGTTAAGTCTGGCTTCTATCTAATCTTAATTCTTAAAGAGTCATTGCTCTTCCGCCCCTTCTGTGGAAGGTGGAAAAGAGAAAAGCTAAGTGAACAAACAAAACACCTTTGGGAATGGGATATGAAAGTTTTTGGGAGCATGACATTTTTGTATTGGTCAGTTATTTGAAACAATGTCTCTGCCTCTTACTACCCCAGCGTTACATGGGAAGCTAGCTGTCACCATAACCTCTGCTGCTGAGTATGTGTTGTAGTTGGTACTTTTAGCGTGTTGCAGGGTAGCTGAGGTCATCTTTCCTGCAAAGACTCTTCTTTGGGATATATAGTGCTGTATTATTTCATTTAATGGGAAACGGATTCTAATCAGGTTGAACCATAGGAAACTGCTGATATATTCAACCGTTTTCGATCAACCTAATACGTAAAATTAGGGGCAAGGCAAATCCTATTAATCTCTTCATTTAATCTTTGAAAGTAACCTCCAAAGTAAAAAATAAATTTTCAGATTTTTCAGAATGAATTTTATGGCAATTTAAGAAATGTGTTTAAGGCCGGGCGCGGTGGCTCACGCCTATAATCCCAGCACTTTGGGAGGCCGAGACAGGTAGATCACGAGGTCAAGAGATCGAGACCATCCTGGTCAACATGGTGAAACCCTGTCTCTACTAAAAATACAAAAATTAGCTGGGCATGGTGGCACACGCCTGTAGTTCCAGGTGCTCGGGAGGCTGAGGCAGGAGAAATTGCTTGAACCCAGGAGACAGAGGTTGCGGTGAGCCGAGATCACGCCATTGCACTCCAGCCTGGGTAACAAGAGCGAAACTGTCTCAAAAAAAAAAAAAAAAAAAAAAAAAAGTGTTTAAAGACCTTTTTAATTTTATAGCTCCTAACTAAATGACGTGGGTAAATATCTTCTATGATTTCTAGCAAAAGACTCATTTCAAAATTTATTAAGTATAGCCATAAAACACCAGAATTTGGTACAACAAAGGAATTCTAGAATATTTGTTTAGGTAACACTAAGAATGCCTATTGTCTGCATCATATTACACTAGAGTTTCAAATTCATAATCTAATGGCAATGTGTTAAAATTTCACCTGCTGTAGTGGGGTGTGTGTGTGTGTGTGTGTGTGTGTGTGTGTGCATATATGCATATGTTCATTAAGGGAGAGGATGGGGTTGACAGTCACTCCTAGGTGAACTCCTTTAGTCATATGATTGAGAAGAATGAGATGACCACAAAACATCAATTTGGTTTGTTTTTCCATTCCAGAAACATCACCAAATTGCAGACTAGCTTGGTTAAAACCTATAGATCCTGTCATGTTCAATTGACTGTAAAATATATAATCAGGGCATTTTAATGCTTAGCCTTTATATAAACTTTTACTAAAAATGAAAACAACCTGTTAACATAATTTTGCTGATTGCAAAACTTTCTTTTTCTTTTTCTTTTTTTTTTTTTTTGAAATGGCGTCTTGCCCTGTCACCCAGGCTGGAGTGCAGTGGCCCAGTCTCTGCTCATTGCACCCTCCACCTCCTGGTTTCAAGCAATTCTACCTGAGCCTACGGAGTAGCTGGGATTACAGGTATGTGCTACCGTGCGCAGCTAGTTTTTGTATTTTTAGTAGAGATGGGATTTTACCATGTTGACCAGGTTGATCTCGAACTCCTGACCTCAAGTGACCCACCCACCTTGGCCTCCCAAAGTGCTGGGAATTACAGGCATGAGCCACTGCACCTGCCTGATTGCAAAACTTTCTGAAATTCTCTAGCAGCTAAAAGAGCAGTTAATGGGTGCAGCTCTGATGATGCAAATTGTTATTTCACAAGCTTGATGCAGCCGTGTCCTGGCATAGATGGGTGGAGTCTTTTGTCCTCTTTTCGCACTCTTCTCGAAGGGAATAATGATTCATACCTTGAAAAGCGAGGAATAAACAAGGAAACACATCTAAATTATTTTTCTGTTGCTCATCAGGTGTTTTTATACTCCCATCTTAGTAAGACATTTTTCGCTGGGATCAAATTACAGATATATGCCATCATCTTGCAAATTCAGGATGTGAAAATCCTCAATTGTAAAAGAGTAACAATTATTATTTCCCCTACAGAAGTTGCCGTAGAAACATTACATTCTCTTCAGTGCCAGAATTTCTATTACTAGCATTACATGTATGCAAATAGACATTATTTGACATATAAACGTTTACATACTTTCAGCAAAGTTTTATAAAAGCAAGATCCAATTTATATTACTTTGCGTATTTGCAAAGGTTTAGAAATGTGAACTGAGAGAATGTTCTTTCTGTTGCTACACCTTTTAAAATACCTGAGTTACTAAATAATGTCCAGTGTTACCGTCTCAGGATGTGAACTTTACCTTCTCTGTCCTGCAGCGTTTCAGCCCCTCCCAGTCTTCGAGCCTTTTGTTCATACTTTTGCCCCTTAGCTCGTATTGTCATGGTATGTTCACAAGCATCTTTGGTTCTCCTGCTCCTATAATTTCCCATGACACCTTCCTTCACAATCCTTAGCCTTACTTCATGGACTGTGCTGTCCAGTTTTCTTAATCTTAAGGTATCAAGGATGGTTGTTCAGGACTGCAAAGTTGATTCTATAAAAATTATGTGTATGCCTTCAACTGCTTTATAATTCTAAGCATCTCTATTGATCTTTTAACACACTGCCACACATTTTTCCAAGTCTCTACAAAAGTTAGTTGTTGGAATTCTTTTTTCTTCCTGCTTAACGTCCATGGAAGGAGTTTATGCTCTCTTTTAGAAGGGAATATTGGAGTCAACTCTTGTAGTATCTCCGAGCCTTATTTGCTTCTCTACATAAAAGAATGTATTATCAGGGTTGGAGAGATTGCTGGAATCGGCATCCACAAGGAGCAGCGTGGTATATGGTGGTTAAATATTTAGCTTGGGAGACAGAATACTAACTTTGTAATCCCAGGTCTGTGTCTTGTCTCTTAGCCTTTCTATACACGCCTTTTCTCATCTGTGAAGTGCTGCGATTATCATATGTCTCTTAGAGTTGTGATGGGGATTATGTAAATTGCTTAGCATAAAGTAGTCACTCAGAAACTGCTAGTTATGACTGGTTGCATTTTGAGGGATTGGGGTTGCCAAGCCTGTCAAGTGGTGGCTCTTAACCTAAGCTGCACATTTGAATTTCCTGGAGAACTTAAAAAAATGCTTCCATGGGCCGGGCGCGGTGGCTCACGCCTGTAATCCCAGCACTTTGGGAGGCCGAGGCAGGTGGATCACAAGGTCAAGAGATCGAGACCATCCCGGTCAACATGGTGAAACCCCGTCTCTACTAAAAATACAAAAAAATCAGCCGGGCGTGGTGGTGCGTGCCTGTAATCCCAGCTACTCGGGAGGCTGAGGCAGGAGAATTGCCTGAACCCAGGAGGCGGAGGTTGCGGTGAGCCGAGATTGCGCCATTGCACTCCAGCCTGGGTAACAAGAGCGAAACTCCGTCTCAAAAAAAAAAAAAAAAAAGCTTTCATTCCAGAGAATCCGATTTAGTTGGCCTGGGCTATGGTCAGGTCACTGCAGTTTTTAAAACCTTTCCAAGTGATTCCAGTGGGCAGCTATATTTGAAAGCTATGTTTAAAAGCAAGAAACAGGATTCTCTCTCTCCTAGGCAGATTGTGAAAGAGATAGTGGGCTGTGGCGTAATCAGACCTGGCTCAGTGTCTGTAGTCTGCCTTCTAAAAGCCATTTCTCTTCTGTGCTTTCCACACTCTCTTCCATTGACTGGCTCTTTGTGACAGCTCCCAATCCATCATACCTCTGATGGCTGGAGGTATGTATGAAGAGTCTGCCACGCAGATCCAGTGCCCTCCTGGTACTCAGGTTCAGATTTGGCAGGATGTAATAGGAAGCCTTGTTTGTTTTCGCTTCAATTCCAAATTATTTTCTCTAATCTAGTACTTTCAGGGACCCTGTAATTTGAGGTCATTAGGCCTCTATAAAGAAAGTGAATATTTTGATCCTTGTCTGGTTATCGGTTCATTGTGTTCATACTGTTGGTTAAAACTAGGAAGGAAAGAGGCATGCATGGGTGATTAAATTCTACCCAAGCTAGAAATTCTGAGGATGAACATATAATAGCATTATCTGTAAAATGGGATATTACCTGCCTCAGTAGGTTTTTGTGATGGTTAAATAAGAAGGTATACGTGTAAGTGGTTAGAACATCTCCTGAAACGTAAGAGCTCAAAAAGTGTATGGTATTATTTGGCGATTAATGCTGTGCATGGGAAGGAGGCAGCCTTTGCCTGGTCTGTGTGGTAAAGCTCCAGGGCATGCAGGCCTCTGGCTGTTGGGACTAACCACAAGGCTACACTCCCGTGGGGGTTAGAACCGGGGCTGGTGCTACATTATTGGGGAAGAGTCTTCTGTTTCCAGTTCAGATTTGTTTCAAAACAGAGAGCTTCATTACTGGGGCTTTTTAGCCACCCAAGCATCTCAAAGTGGAAGAATTTTTGCTTTTAAAACACATTTTAATTCTTGTTCTCAAGTAGGCTGGTACTGCTGTGGAACTTTTGGCCTTTTAATGATTGTCCTATCAGTTGGTAAATCAAGA